ACGTTGAATTAATTTAGCAACCTGATGTCAATTAGAGCGTTAAATTCGTAATTATTTAATTGTTCTAAAATAGTGACAACTGGCATGATTGGATTTGTGTCAGGGGAATATGCAAGCTAATCCAAAATAACCTTGGTAGTGTGTTATTTGGTTAGAATAAGGCTCTTCTAATACGTAAAACAATTGGAGAATTAAATCTTACAGGCATATCTAAGGTTATTTCTCAATTAGAATAGTGATTGACGAATGCACCTCAGTTATCGACACAGTAAGGAGGAGTTGACTGTCATCACTTGTTTGTCAGTTATAAGTTATTTATTAGTTAATAATTGGAAGTATTTCTGTATCGATGATCAATTAGTTGAACCATTGCCGAAGTTGTTTCTTGACTTTAGCTGTACAATACTGTTTGAGCTTTTACCTTATTGTTACTTAATTTTATTTAGCTGCAATATTTGATTAGTATAGTTTATTGTTAATTTTCCTAAATCCCCCACATTGTTAACTTGAACTTTAGTAGAAACAAATTACTCCCAATTCCTGTGGATTCGACCCTACATGCCCTTCTCGTGAATAAATTTTGGTATATCGGAGTCAGTAAACTCTTCGGAGTTAGGGTGAATCTAGTAACTCATTACACATCCAGAGTCCCTACTCCAGTACTAGAATTGACTCGAAACCACTTTTGTGGATAACTAGATTTATTTTTATTATTATACATGCATCGACAACCTGTCAAATTTATTTTATAATTAATTTCCTCCTATTATCTTACCAAATGTGCATTAATTGATGGATTCTACTCACTTTTGAAAATTTATATTGATCGCAGGGAGTTGGAACAAAATGTGGTGAAAAGGTGCAAATTTCCCACTACAATTGTTGTTTGGCATAGTCGCGTCAAGTCAGGCTTTAACGTGTCCAGAAAATGAGGGAAAGACGCGTGGCACCAATTGCCAATTGATAGTGCAATGAGGGGTCACAAACATTCCATTAGTTGATTGTTTTGATTTGAATTGACAAAGGTAGTGTAACACAAATAGAAAAACGTGCCAATTAGGAGATTTCCTAGTTTGTTGGATGCGGCTGAATATGAGATAGAAGTCAATTGAGATTAGGACTCCACTTAGCTTTTGGAGAGCTGACCGCCACAAGCAAAGAGGGAGAAATCTAGCTTTGGTTTTTGGCTAATTCCTATTTTTTTTCTTATTCCATCGTATGACTGATCCCAAGGAAGAAACATTAATCATTCTTTTGACTTTGAAGTTTTTCCTTATTCTTATTCCATCGGAGTTTTCATCTCAATTGAGGATGATGCACACAGCAATTATTTCTGTAATTTTGCGTGAGATTGTTTCAACAGAGATGAATTAAATCTCTTTTTCTAGTCAAGGAACAACGGAGGATTTGGTTCAACTTAAATTGTGAGATAGAACTGATTTACTTTTTCCTATTATTTTCTAGTATTTGTATATTTCCTGCCTTATGTTCTTATGGTTATTGTATTATTCAATAAACCTGGGCCCAAGTTTGAGATTAATTTGACAACCTAAAACCAATTAGAGTAATTAAATTTGTAATTTTTAATTATTCTAAATTAGATGTAACTAGCATAATTGGGTTTGTGTCAGGGAAATATACAGAATAATTTGAAATAACCCTCATAGCGTGTTGTTTGGTTAGAACAGGATTTTTCTAATTCGTAAGGCAATTGAAAAATTGAATCCTGCGATCGTACTTAGGGTTATTTTGCAATTAGGGTAATAGCTAACGGTCGTACCTTGGCTATCGATAATTAAGGAAAAATTGATTGTGATCGCTTGTTTGACAATTATAACTTGTTTATTTGTTTATGAGTAGAATTATTCTTGCATCGATGATCAATTAGGAGAACCATTTCTGAAGTTGTTTCTTGACTAAAGCTTGTCCAATACTATTTGAGCTTTTATAATTTGCCATTTAATTTTTACTTAATTGCAATATTCAATTAGCATAGCTTGTTGTTAATGTTCATAAAATCCCCCATATCTTGAACTCTAGAAGAAACGAATTATCCCCAATTCCTGTGAATTTGACCCTATTCACCGCTATATATAAATGTATATTTTTGTCGAGTAGGTTATTATTATTGCACAGGTTCGACATCTGTCAAGCACCACCTTTACATATCCCATATTTACTTGGTGATTGGGTAGTAGATATAGTAGGCAGAAGTCCGGCAGTAAGGAAAACAATCTTTGATCGGTTAAAGCATAATCTACACAAGTCACAAAACTGAATAAATTAGTTAGCAAACAAACATAGGTCTGATTGGCAATTTGAAGTTGGTGATTTGGTATATGTTACACTTCACCCCTACAAGCAACATTCTCTGAAGGAACGCTCTTGCCAAAAGTTAGCGCCCAATTACTATGGGTCTTTTCAAGTAATCAAGAAAGTTGGTCTAGTGGAAGCGAAGATACATCCTACTTTTCATGTGTCTTTATTGAAGAAGAAGATGGGCAATCATTTAGTCATTTCTAGCATTCCTTCTCCAGTCACTGATCAAGAGCAGCTCATGTTGGAACCTATTACATTTTTGGATCAACAATTGGTAAAAAGAGGCAACTCTCTTGCTACCAAGGTACTAGTTTAATGGAGCAATTCATTTTTCAGAGACGCAACATGGGAGTCTTGATATGATCTCAAACAATTGAGGACTGTTGTGCAGTTTAAACCAAGTCAATTCCTTTGTATTTAGTTGCTAAAGTTGTTGTCACATCATTGGTCCATTTATTGGTTGTATGTTTTGTTTTGGTAGGCTAGTACAATATCACGACTTTCTTAAGTGTGAAAAAGTCTTAGTAGTCTATCTTGGAACAAAGTATTCTTAGTTTCTTTGACGGTTTAAGTTTCCTCAGCATTAAGATTTCGCGCCTTAAGTCGGTTTAGCCAACTTACTAGTCTTCCATAAATAGGTGCTAATGCGATTGGCAAGAGCGCGATCCGAACAGAGCTAGCGAACTGAGAGGAGCGAACTGGTGTCAACGAAGGGTGGTCCAATTGACCTGCAAAGGAACGAACTATGAGACTAGCTTGCCGTTGTAAATCTGACGGTCAAGTCAGTTATGTCTACAAGTAAAGCAATAGTATTGATTATTGTAGATGGCGTATCTTGTTTGGTCTCTTTGTGCTATATTTATAAAACTCTTAGTAATAGTTTCCTTATAAGATTATGAGCCCTAGTAAAGATGAACTCCCCTTAGGATTCTGCCTCCTGCCTAGTTCCGAAAAGCTAGGGAGCTCCGGCCCACTCGGCCCACTAGCGAGGAGACGGAGATCACGAGCTAACTGAACTCCATACTTGTCTGAACTGATCTGGTCAAGCTAACAAGCCATCATGTCCGAACTGATACGTGGCTCCGGTGGATTGGCCCTACTACACTAGCCCCCTAAGGAGTCTAGAGTCATCGAACGGTTGCATGAGTCTGAATCGAATTTCGAGAGACGCGTCAGTTCGGTATGGGGTCCACGATTTTGTAACTGCCACGTCTGTTCAGGTAACCATCACATTTCTCCACGTAACCACCACATGAATCGTCATGTCGCTCCATAAAGATAGTTACTAGCTCAACCGTCACATCGTGCAACAGTTACTAGTATTAAATTCGAATTTAATGCGGGACTCTTCATCTTCCCGCTCTAGCGATCCCCTATAAATAGGCCCTACTAGATGTCACTTTCACACTTGCTTCTTCATTTCACCTGCTCTTACCATTTAGCTAATTTGCACATCTTCCCTTCTCGCCAGAGTCTATTCGCGTGTCCTAACCTTAGGCGTTGAGAGTTTGTTCGTGCGTTCTTCTAGTCACATTCGAGCTACCCTTCTTTTTTTACCAGTAAGTTCCTTGTCTCTTCTTTTATGTCTTCTTCCGAACAGTCCGACATCACTAGTTCAGCCCCTAGGCGTAGGATAGCCCAACCTGTCCCAGTAGAAATTATCTCTTCTTCTACTTCTCCTTCTAGCTCATCATCCCCCAACTCGTTAGAGTCTGAGTACATTGCCTCCCCTGCTCATTCTCCTGTTTAAGCAATGGATCAACCTATTCAGCTTGTGGCTACTGCTGCATAAGCGGTCCCAGCCCAGGCTGAGGCAGGAACCTCCAGGGGGACTGGTACTAATTTCAGCGAAATTGATACCATCCCTCCTATCCTGGAGTAGGAGGATGTGGATGAACTAGTAGGAAAGTATGACATCCCTATCTAGTTCGAAGCCTGAGCTACCCAACCCGGGAAGGTTGTTTGCTGACCTCTGCCTGGTTTGTGGCTATCTATAAGGACCAACTCATAGCAGGTTTTCACCTTCTCATTCCCCAATTTCTTTTCCAAATCCTTACCTTCTGGAGAATTCGAATAACCCAACTCATTCCCAATGCTATTTGCTCAATCCTGGCTTTTTTATCTTATGCCGAATTCTTGAAATTCCCTACTTCTTAGAGTTGTTCAGGTCGTTCTTTCACATGAAAATCAGCGACCACGTTCTGGATTGGTTTTATTTCGTTCGTACCCTTCATGTGTTCATGATACAGGGCCGAGGAGCGAAGTATCCCACCCGCGAGCTGTTCGTTGGCGTTCCTTCCTCAATTCGGGCATGGAAGGCCCAGTTCTTTTATGTGATGAACATTGGGTTCCTCTCGCTGACTTGGAGGGAAGAGACTCATGTCACTGACTTTGTTCCTTGTTCCCTACCTGAAGCCGAGCTGGATCGTCTGCTCAGTTTGGACTTGAAGTTGAACGTGAAGGAGTTCAACAATGCCCAACTTTGGGCGACTGGTCTGATCTGAGCAGACGTGTCTAATCCTGCCCCTAACACCAGATCTCTTTCTCCGGATGACTTAACCACCACACATACTTATGCCTTAGTGTTTTTCTTTTTGCCCAACCTGAAGGGTTCTGTTCGTTCCAATGCTGACCATTTCCTCTTTTCTTTTGTAATAAAGAGATTTTTGCAGCTGCTGACCATGGGCGGAGCAAGCAATTCAGGCACGCCCACTGTTGCGCCCTCTACTGCTCCTGCTAGTTCAATTCCTCCTCCTCAGCCCCAACCAACACTAGTTCAGCCTTCACCAGCTCATTCGTCCCCCACTGAAGATCGAGGAAAAAAGAAGCGAAAGAAGTCCACGGCCAAGAAGGCGCAACCTGAGGTGACTTCTTCACCAGCTCAGGAGAGAGCCCCTACACCTGGCCCTACCCAATTCGAGCATTACGGGGTCAACACACCCAAACAGCAGACTACCTCAGAGGCTCCCCTCAACATTTGGCAGTATAGGAATATCATTCCTCTCTATCAGCTAATGAGGTGACTTCGCACCCCCACCCAATGCACTTCTATCCGAAATAGGGGCTATCGATTAACGACCAAACTCGATACCCGGAGGCAATTCGGGAACTCTTTCAAGGCTCAGTTCTCTCCCGTGACTACAATTTCATCCTGGTGGCACCTGACTCCTCGAACATTACTATCTCAGCAAGACTCAGGTCAGTACCGAACTGCCTATGCACTCCTTTCTTCTTTCATGTTTTCCTATCGACCTACTCGACATACTAACCTTTGGCCTATTTTCTGAACTGTCAGCTGAACATGGCTGGATCCGAGTTGTCAAGGAGGTTCGAGAACATAAAGGAGACACTGTTCCAGGTTGGGGCTGCCAAGGATAAGATTCAGGAGTTCAAGATGTCTGAGGACTTCCTGAATGACTTGGCCATCTTGAACAAATCGGTGCTTTAGCATGGGTACACCCAGGCGATTAACGATGTGCAAGCCTTGAAACTGCCAGGTTTCAACCTAGGGAGGTCTGCCAGCTACAACCCTGGTACGCTTGAACAGGTAGATCGGTTGGTCGAAGGGTATGTGCGTGGGCTCAAACTGTCCGACCTCATGGCTGACCCCTCCTTGCTTGTAACCGCTCCAGAAGTCGAACTAGAAGACCAAGGGGAGTACTAGATAGGACCTAGCATAGGACATAGGTAGGATACCGAACTGAGTAGAGTCAGTTCGTTTTTGTATGATCTCACCCCTTGTAAATTGATGCTTTAATGAATGAATAGACTTGTGCTTCTTTAATACTTAGCAAAATTTTTCATTCATGTCTTTCTTGTCATAATGTCTGAACATACTTGCGCGAACTGAATCCTAACTTATTCACGTTCGAACAGACTTGAGCAAACTGATAACTAACTTAAGCAAAATAGTTCGGATCATACATGAACAAAGTAAATGAGTTCTAACAGAAAAGTCTCAAATTTAAATTATGCCATGTACGCAGGACTTCCTCTCCACTGAGGTGAGCTAGCCTGCAGTAGCCTGCTCAATCTGCCTCCCTTACCATGTAGGGTCCTTCCCAGTTCGAATCCAATTTGCTCGTACCCAAGACCTGACTTACTAAGTTTTTTCGAAGAACTAGATCCCCTGGTTTAAAACAGGTGTGTCTCACCCTGGCGTTATAGTGTCGTGCGACCTGCCCCTTGTACTTGGCTATTCTTATGATTACTTCCTTCCTCTTCTGTTCAAACTGGTCCAAGTTGAACTGCATCTCACCCTAATTTCCCCGGGCTATGAAGTTCTGCACCCTGCTTGATGGCAAGCCAATTTTCGCCAAAATTACTGCTTCCACCCCATAAATTAAAGCAAATTGAGTCTCTTGGGTGGCAGTTCAGTAAGTTCAGAGTATGCTAGGCAGTTCATCCATCCATCCAGTTCGAGCAGACTCTATTCGAGTTTTTAAGCTGTGCAGAATAGTTCTGTTAATATTTTTTACTTGACCATTAGCTTGAGGGTGTCCCACGGAAATGAAGTGTTGTTGGATTCCAATCTCGATGCACCAATCTCGGAAGGGATTTTCAGTGAACTGCCAGTCGTTATCCAAGACCAAAGCTCGTGGTATGCCAAGCCGGCAAATTATGTTCCTTCAAAAAAACTTCTGGATCAACCTGCTAGTAATTGTATTGAGTGGTTCGGCCTCAAGCCACTTAGTGAAGTAATCTATTGCCACCATTAAATACTCATAATCACCTGGAGCTCAGGGAAACGGACCGAGTAGGTTGATTCCCTATTAGAAGAATGGCCATGGGCTCTGAAGAGGAACCATCTCCTGAGTTAGGGGGTGTTGAACTGGCGCATGCAGCTGGTATGACTGACAGGTGCCGAACCTGTGCAATAATAATTACTAAAAAGTCCTAATTACCACCACAACTAATTATAGAACAAATCCAAATACTGGAGCAGGGAACCTAGGTGTGCAATGGGTTACTTGATTCACCCTATTCCCGAAGAGTTTGCTTGATCCGATTTATCAGATTTATCTATAAAAATATTAATTTTGCGTATAATGGCAAGTAGGGTCGATTCCACAGGGAGCGGGTAGGAAATTATTTCTTTTCAAATTAGTAGAACGAAATTGGGAGATTTTCAATGGAAGGCAAATAAAAATGAAATAAAACAAACAAAATTCAAAACTAACCCACAAAGCACAATTCACTAAAAATAGCAATTAATAAAAGTTCTACCCAAAAGATCAACTGCTCAGGCACAGTCCAATTAAATGATCATCGATACAAAGATATTTCATCCATTCATCACTAGGTTGGTTATAGTTGTCAATAAGCTCTGACAACCAGTTCTTCCTTACTTTTTCGACAGTCAAGGTACGACCATTGACTACTTCCCTAATCAGATAACAACCCTAGGTACAACCGTAGGAATTTAATTACCCAATTGCATTAAAGCTAGAAGAACCCAACCCTAACCAATAAACACGCTAAGAGGATTTATTTAAGTTAGATCTTACGTTTCCCCAACATAAAGCCAATTATGGTGGTCGCCACTAGATATCAACTAAACGAACAATTACGGATTCAATTTAGTTAATGTGACAGTAGGCTATTAAATTAAATCAAATACCTGGCTGTTGATAATCAATTAATAAAATACCCATGAACAATTAATTCAGAAAACGCACGAATAACAATAAATTGGAAGAAATAATGAAGATTCGATTAGATATCACAGATATTATGGACCGCGCCCTCGCGTCAACTTTTGGGTAGAGGAGAAAATTAGTCGCTACTCATCGTATCCATCCCGCGTGATTTAATTGAAACTATTCAATTAATTGCCGAAAAATTGGGGAAGGTGGATTAATTGAAGAAACAACCGAGAAGGCCCTGACTCCACCTTCGTTTTGGAGCCGCAAGTACAAAGTAAAAGGCTAACCTAAATTGCCCAGAGCAAGCGTAAAAGTCAAAAAGGAAAATAGCCGTCTCGCCTCTTCTAATTGCTACCGAAGAGAAGAAAAGAAAAGGGGAAAAAGCGTCTGACCCCTCTTGCAAAAAAAGTGAACTAAAGCTAAAAAGTCTTCCCCCTGAATCTAGCTTTTCTTTTCTATTTGTAGTACCCCTTTGCGCCGCCAGTAGGAATCTCCCAAAAGGAACAAGCTTTGTCCAAGGGTTCTAATCCCACGCACCTGGTCCACGTAGACCGAGTGCCTTAATTGGTCTCCTGCTATTGGTCCCGCGGATCCGGCTTTTCGGTAGCATCTATCTTTTCTGGCGTGGCCACGCCCTGAGATGAAGGGTTTTCTGAAAATTTGCCTCAAGAGATTACTTTTAACGCCAATCATCTATAATTCATACAAATATGAAATATGAGTTAAACCTCAATACTTAGCACAGTAAGTAGCCAAAATTAGGACAAAATAACAGTGCAAAATGTGCCAAATAACCGCTCTATCAAATCCCCCCACACCTAGACAATGCTTATCCTCAAGCATTTCAGAAGTCAGAAGTACAACCAAGAGAGCAGAGGTCATGCAGTAGTCTATACTAACACAAGCATTTCAGATCCCTGACAATATCACCAAAATTAGAACACATCGGACGGGTTGTGATTCAAAGAAAATATATATAAATACTAGGAACGCTCAAATCAATATCACGAAATGCCATTACCATGGGCTTGCACATTTATCACATCTCTACCACTCAAAAGTGAACTAAATATATAAATCAAAGGGACTTTGGTGGGATTGTAATGGGGTCCAGGTGAAAGGCGGGATAAGAAGGTAAAGATAAGGGATTATGTGTCAAGAGAGTGTCCGAAACCCACCATATAACCACAGTGCTTTACCGGAGGAGTTTCACAAACAAGGCAGTTTTCATTTGCTGTCCACACTGTGCAAGTGCCAATTTTTTTTTTTTTTTGCAAGGACGAATGTCTTGCAAGGCGTGGACACGCCCTGTAAGACAGAGTCTTCTGATCAATGGCTTTTTGTCGATTTCTCCCCCTTTCACAAGGATACCATCATACAGATCCTACTCTAACAACCCTTGCACCCCCAGATTTATTTACCTTGCACAAATGATGGAATTCAGACATCCCTTGACAACACAGGGGTAAACAAGAAAGTCTAAAGGGGTCTTGGGTTAACAAACACGGCTAACAACCAAAAGTGAAGGATAAAAGCTCAAATTGGTTTACTATTGGGAAACAAGGTGAATGCATGATTTTCTTTTGAAAGTTAAAGAAGGTCAAATCATAAATGCCCTTATCATTTCAAATGCATCCAGTTCAACAAAATGTGGTCTTGACATGTATAAAATAGCAAGTTCTAGAATGCCAATACCATGTGCGATACCCACTCAATCAAACAAAAATAGAGCAAACAAACAAGAATAATATGCTCAAGCAAGGCTCAAAAGCTCCCAAAAGTTTCAAGAATGGGTCAAGTCCAGTGTAATCAACGCTCAACAACACTGCCAAGGGAAAACCAAATGCATAGCTAGCGTATTTACCTACATACCCACGCTACTTGATTGTGTCATTCATCACAGCAACATGCTCCAGCATTAACAAGCATAGAAATAAACAAAAAGCTGACTAACTACAATGTTTTAATTTTTTTTTAGAGTAACAAAGCAAACAGAAATAATGGAAGTCACTCCCCCACGCCTAAGACCTACATTGTTCTCAATGTAGAAAAGACCAATAAAGTATTAGGAGAAAAGAAAAGAAACTTCCCTGACCACCGGGGAGGGAAAGCGAGACACTAAGACGGAGGGGGGTGAGGCGGGGTGAATCCAATGTGAGCGAAGAAGGCCGCCTGATTCTCTGCCTGAATGCGGGTGAAGACCTGTAGCACCTCAAGACGGCCATCTAATCTCGATACCTGAGTGTTGAGCTCATCAAAAGAATCTTGGAGGTCTTGGTAGCGGGGGTCCCAAGCAGGAGGAGTATTAGAGGAGGACGGACCCGCCTGATCCGGATGGGGTAGAGAGTCAGTGAAAGGTGCAGTCGGAGGCACCCGAGGCCGTGGCCCGCCCTCACTAGGGGGCGTAAACTGATAGTCATCGCCTACTTTGAAAATAACCCCCATCCGCTCCAAACTGCGCAAATCCATTGGCTCAATTTCCCGAACTAGAGCGAAGTTGTGCTCTTTGTCGAGATCCAGCAATCCCAATCGAATGGCCAAATGGGTAATGAGTGAGCCCAGGATGATCGGTTTATTGTGCTTTTGGATGACCGATTGCATTTGAGTGGCTACCCAACATCCAAAATTAACCTGAACTTTGTTGCGCATGCACCAAAGGAAATAAAATTCCACCTTGGTAAGAGTGCCGGAAGAATCCTTCCGTCTCGAGAAATTGTGAGCCAAAAACCTGTGGATGACCTTCAAGACCGGATCCTTCAGTTGAGAGGCCTTTGACTGACTCGGATTGTAAAGTTGCCGATCC